AATCCCAGCACTTTGGGAGGCCAAGGTGGGTGGATCACCTGAGGTCAGAGTTTGAGACCAGCCTGACCAACATGGTGAAACCCCATCTCTATTAAAAACACAAAATTAGCCAGGCATGGGGATGCACGCCTGTAATCACAGCTACTTGGGAGGCTGAGGCAGGAGAATCGCTTGAACTGGGGAGGCAGAGGTTGCAGTGAGCCGAGATCACACCATTGCATTCCAACCTGGGCAACAAGAGTGAAACTCCATCTCAAAAAAAAAAAGTTAAAGGCCAGCCTGGGCAATATGGCGAAACCTCAACTCTACAAACAGTACCAAAATTAGCCGAGCATGGTGGCATGAATCTATGGTCCCAGCTACTTAAGAGGCTGAGGTGGGAGAATCGCTTGAGCCCAAGAGGTGGAGAATGCAGTGAGCCAAGATCACGCTACTGTACTCCAGCCTGGGTGACAGAATGAGACCCTGTCTCAAAAAAATAATAAAAATAAAATAAAATAAAATATAAAATAAGCCTTGAAAGCCATGAAGCCAAAAACAATAAATTTCTGCCGAAGAAAACTGTGTATAGATGTTGTATATGACTTCACAGGATTTACAACAGAGCCAATCAAGTATCATTAAAAAGATTATGAATATGACCAAAAAAAAGTGGGTCATAGGATGAAGAGTTTCAAGGTATGGATTTTGGAGAAATTTAAGAGCTAGTAGATCCACACCAGAGTAATTAGCAGAAGACAACTTGATGGAGATGAATGCTTCTGAACCAGTGCCAGGCAATGAGGACTATGTAGAAGTAGCAGTACCAGAAAACAAATTGACATTAGACAGGTTGGCAGAAGGGTTCCAGTTATTCAAGACTGCTTTTCACTTCTTTTATGTCAGGAACTATTCTGTGAGACGCACACTTTAACTAAAGTAAACAGTGGAAGAAGGATTGGTACCGTATAGAAACATTTTTAGAAAAATGAGACATAAAAAGTCAGACAAATTACCATGTGTTTCTGTAAAGTTACGTTAAGAGTGCCTGCCTCCCCTTTCACCACCTCCACCTCTTCCTTCTTTGCCACCCTTGAGATGGCAAGACCAACCCCTCCTGTTCCTCCTCGTCCTCAGCCTACTCAACAAGATAACAAGGATGAAGATCTTTGTGATGATCCACTGCCACTTAATGAACAGTAAATGTATTTTCTCTGCCTTATGATTTTCTTAACATTTTCTTTTCTTTAGCTTACTTTATTAAGAATACAGTATATCAGTGGTCCTTAACCTTTCTGGCACCAGGGATCGGTTTTGTGGAAGACAATTTTTCCACATCCTTGGGGGGTAGGAGATGGTTTGGGGATGATTCAAACACATTGCATTTATTGTGCACTTTCTATTATTACATTGTAATATATAATGAAATAATTATGCAGCTCACCATAATGTAGAATCAATGCAAGGCCTGAGCTTGTTTTCCTGCAACTAGATGGTCCCATGTGGGGTGATGGGAAACAGTGATAGGTCATCAGGCATTAGATTCTCACAAGGAGTGCACAATCTAGATCCCTTGCATGCTTAGTTCACAATAGGGTTCGTGCTCCTATGAGACTCTAAGGTCACTGCTGATCTGACAGGAGGTGGAGCTCAGGCAGTGCAATGGGCAGCAGCTCTTAAGACAGATGAAGCTTCGCTCTTACCTGCCACTCACCTTCTATGCGGCCCGGTTCCTAAGAGGGCACAGACCGATACCAGTCTGTGGCTCAGATGTTGGAGACCCCTGCAGTATATAATATAACATACAAAATACATGTTAGTTAGCTGTTTGTGTTATCAGTAAGGCTTCTGGTCAATAGTAGGTTATTAGTAGTTAAGTTTTGGGGGCATCAAAGGTTACATGTGGATTTTTGACTACACAGTGGGTTGGCAGGGTTGGCACCACTAACCCTTGTGTTTGAGGGTCACCCGTACATCTCTGCATGTGTCCTTTTTGTATGTGACCATGTTTGATAGTTCATTTAGATTATATGTTGTCGTTGTTGTTGTTGTTGTTTGAGACAGGGTCTTGCTCTGTCACCCAGGCTGGAGTACAGTATTGTGATCATAGCTCATTGCAGCCTCCACCTCCTGGGCTCAAGCCATTCTCCTGCCTCAGCCTCTCGAATAGTTGGGATTATAGGCACATGCCACCACACCTGGCTAATGTTTTTTTGTGTGTGTGTAGATACGTGGTCTCGCTATGTTGCCAGGGCTGGTCTTGAACTGAGTTCAAGCGATCCTCTCACCTCAGCCTCCCAAAGTGCTGGGATTACTGGCGTGAGCCACCACCATTGCCTTGGTTAAGATCCTTTAGGGGTATAGGGTACAAACCCACCCAATACAGCTTAAACCAGAGGCAATCCAGGGATGTCTCAGAACTTACAAATACATACAGCTAGCACCAGAAACTAAGGCCCCAGCCTTAGATTACATCTATATGTAAAATTGCTGTAGGGTAGGCACCTCTTAACTTTACTAGAAATTACCAAATTATTCTCCCAGTAGTTGTTCCAGTTTATAAGCCTTACCAACAATATATGTTGATTCTTGTGGGGCATGGTGGCTCACGCCTGTAATTCCAACACTTTGGGAGGCCGAGGCAGGTGGATCACTTGAGGTCAGGAGTTCGAGACCAGCCTGGGCAACATGGTGAAACCCCATCTCTACTAAAAATACAAAAATTAGTGGGGCATGGTGGTGGTACCTGTAGTCCCAGCTACTCAGGAGATGGGCAGGAGAATTGCTTTAACCTGGGAAGTGGAGGTTGAAGTGAGCTAAGATCGTGCCACTGCACTCCAGCCTGGGTGGGCAATAGAGTAAGACTCCATCTCATAAACCAAACAAAACAAAACACAAAAACAGTATATGTTGGTTCTTATTTATTTCTCTGCATCCTGGCCACTACTTGGCATTATCTAACTTTAAGTTTTTGCCATTGTGGTATGTATGAAATAGTATTTTATTGAATTTAATTTCCATTTTCCTGTCTGTTTAGTGAAGGTAATGTCTTCTTTTCTTATCATAGCACTCTATTTGTTTCTTTTATAGTACCCATCACAAGCTATTATTATGGGTGGGTTTGTTTCTGTGTTTATTGTGTGCCTCCCTATCTGGAACATAATCTTTGTGAAGGCTGGGATCACGTTTCTCAGGTTTACTGTTTTATCCCCACAGCTCAGTCTAGGGTCTGGCATGGAGTGGTATTCAATAAATAGATGTTTAATGAATGAACCAGGGTCGGGAAGTGAGTGCTTTAATAAGTCTGACATTATTGTAAGAGAAATACGGAAATAGGAAGTTATTTCTTTATCTTCCCCCTATCCAAACCTTATACTTTATTTATTTATTTATTTATTTATTTATTTATTTATTTATTTATTTTTATTTTTTTTGAGACGGAGTCTCAGTCTGTCGCCCAAGCTGGAGTGCAGTAGTATCACAATCTTGGCTCACTGCAACCTTCACCTCTCGGGTTCAAGCAATTCTTGTGCCTCAGCCTCCCAAGTAGCTGGGATTACAGGCACCTGCCATCATGCCCGGCTAATTTTTGTATATTTGTAGAGACAGGGTTTCACAATTTTGGCCAGGCTAGTCTTGAACTCCTGACCTCAGGTGATCGGCCCTCCTCGGCCTCCCAAAGTGCTGGGATTACAGGTGTGAGCCACCGTGCCTGGCCTGTACTTTATTTCATAGCCAGTACACAGTACCTTATTCTAGTCTTCATTTCTTACGTTCATTTTTCAAGGCTTTGAATATACTTGACTAGGAGGTAGTAGTAATAGAAAATAACAGAAATATTGAGTCACGCATGGTTTCATTTGATAGGGATGGCTATCAGCTCCAGCCTACGGCCTGTAATTTGAGATATATTGATGTCCAATTAGCTTGAGATTATATTCTGTGGCCCACATCAGAGAAACCAAAGCTCTGATGAGGTTCATTATTAGACAGGAAATTAAACTGGAAGCGCTTTGCCTTTTTTTGGATTCTCATTGACAGAGTGAATCTTGTCTTGCCTAATGTAAGACTTTCTGAGACAGTTACAGGCTTCATCAACAGAAATTCACTAGGCTAGGATGGTAATTTTTTTTTTATTTTTGAGAAATGTAAAACTTGAGCATGACTAGAATAAATCTCAGTTAACTTTTCTGTAGTCCCTTTTTTTTTTTCCACCCAACCACTCTTAGTGCGGCATCTACTCTCAGCAGCTCGGTGCATCCTTTGTCTGCTTTATTCAGTTCCTGAGCTTTGCTGTGGCTACATCTTTAACTTATTGGCTTGGTTAAGATCTTTTAGGAGTAGAGGGTACAAACTCACCCAATATAGCTTACACCAGAGGCAATCCAGGGATGTCTTAGAACTTACAAGTACACACAACTAGCACCAGAAAGTAGAGTAGTGGAAATGCCTACTAAAAGCTCTCAAGTTGATTCCTCTTTTCAAGAGAAGAGCCAAGCTGAAGTTAGAATCTCTTAGTTCCAATTACAAATATCTAGGGAAAGATACTGACTCAGCATGGGCCAGATGTGTCGCTGACTCCAGTAAGCTGTGGCATAAGGTTATGTTCCACAGACATGGTAGCCAAGACCTACCCCTGTAACGTGTGGATGACACAATCCTAGGCAGATACACACATAGGTGTCTAGTGAAATTATCTTCTGAAATTAATTATAAATTTTCTGAACATGTGTTCAGAAGCTCTGAAACCTCTCACTTGCTACCCAGCAACTTCTTCATATCTTCCATTTCCTTTTATTTTATTTTATTTTTTGAGATGAAGTCTCACTCTGTCACCAGGCTAGAGTGCGGTAGCATGATCTCACTGTACCCTCTGCCTCCCAGGTTCAAGTGATTCTCCAGCCTCAGCCTCCCAAGTAGCTGGGATTACGTGTGTGTGCCACCACAGCCGGCTGATTTTTGTATTTTTAGTAAAGACAGGGTTTCATCATGTTGTCCAGGCTGATCTCAAAGTCCTGACCTCAAGTGATCCACCCACCTCAGCCTCCCAAAGTGCTGGGATTACAGGCATGAGCCACTGCGCCCGGCCACATGTAGTTTATTAATGTGTCCTGCCCCAGCTAGTGGGAAATGGCGGTAAAGCAGGTATTGTAAAACTTTGGCAACCTGGAGGTTCATTCTGCTTTTTCTGAGACCTTATATTATCTTGTTACAGGAACATGACGTAGAAACAACTCATGGTATGGTCCACATCACTATGAGAGGCTTACCCAAAGGAAACGGACCAGTTATACTAACGTATCATGACATTGGCCTCAACCGTATGTATTTGATTTTATACCTTCCCTTCTTATCATACTTGATCTTTGTATATTAAAAACCAAACAACAATAATATTCTAATAGAGCAGAGGTTTTCCCCTCTCTGTGGTAACCTTCCCTCCTTGTTCATTTGTTAATGGTATAAAGTTCCTGGGAAGTGTGCAGGGGAATATATTTTGGGGATACTGGAATCATATCTCGCCTTCATGTCTGCTAAAGGATTGAAGATTATACAATGAATTGCTTAAGAAAGTAGAACTCAAATCCATGTTTTCAAGCCTGTACTTTGTTTTTTGTTGTTGTTGTTTGTTTGTTTGTTTCAGGTTAGAAAATTCAGAGTTGGAACTTAACTTTGTTGTGAGCTCTTCAATGAATTAGTAAAAGAGTTCTTGCTAGAGTCTGTCACCAGTGACTTTAAGTGGACTTTTCTAGATGGTAGTGTAAGATTCTGGCCCCAGCCATGGACACACAGAGTCTGCATATATGTGTTTTCTTTCACGCTGCTCTGGCTTTCATAAATGCCCTGCATTTGAGGCTACGGTTGAGTGTTAAAGCTTTTGTAGCTGCCTTGGCATGAGAAGTGATTTAAGCAGGTGTACAAAGAGGGTAGAAGTGGAAGCAGCAGCCCCTCCCTGCACCCTGGCAATTTTGCCGAGAGGCAAACTCCCATGAGGTGAATGTCAGCAGCTCAGGACATTCACTCCACCTGTGCTCTTGGGATATAATCAGTGTCTCTTTGTGAGATAGAGGAATAATGTCCATGAGAAATGACAGCATTGTGGGTGTAAGATTATTTTGTGCAATAATCGGAAGCCACCAAACATTAACAAAGTAATTTCTACTTTGCAGACCTTATTTAGAATTGAGAATTATTTTCAATATGTATCTCAATATGAGATGTCTTATATTCAGCCTTTAGGGCAGCTTGAATCAGACAGATTGTTCAGACACCTCACTTTGGTGGATTGGTGGTTAAAAAGCAGTGAAAGGAGGTGATGATAGGCATTGACTGAGTGGAGGAAAATTGAGGAGATACGGAGAGCCTGTGACTTATGGGTATTTTTATTCTTATAGATAAATCCTGTTTCAATGCATTCTTTAACTTTGAGGATATGCACAGTATCACCCAGTACTTTGCTGTCTGTCATGTGGATGCTCCAGGCCAGCAGGAAGGTGCACCCTCTTTCCCAAAAAGGTAAGGCCACAAAAAGATCATCTGGGAGATAAGCACTCAGAGCAACTGGCTGAGCTCCAATGGGAGAAGTGGTTTGTGCTTCCCTTTGATTTTATTACAGTCTATAGGTTATACTTATTGACCATCCATCCTCATATTTTCTCTTCTTGGGCTGAGAGGACTGGTATTTACAGTTTTTTTGGGGAAACTGTATGTTTTCCCATATCTAGGAATGGCTCTCCATAGCAGGTGCCTGCTTTCCTGTAATCTCAAGGCATAAGTGTCTGGAACACCTACTTCTCACTGTCTTTATCTTTCCCTTCCTTATCTATTTGAAAGCTGTCATTTTTTAGCCAGATGTGGTGACTCACACCTATAATCCCAGCACTTTGGGAGGCCAAGGCAGGAGGATTGCTTGAGCCCTGGAGTTCAAGACCAGCCTGGACAGTGGGCCGAGTGCGGTGGCTCATGCCTATAATCCCAGCACTTTGGGAGGCCAAGGCAGGCAGATCATGAGGTCAGGAGATCAAGACCATTCTGGCTAACATGGTGAAACCCCATCTCTACTAAAAATACAAAAAATTAGCTGGGTGTGGTGGTGGGTGCCTGTAGTCCCAGCTACTTGGGAGGCTGAGGCAGGAGAATGGCCTGAACCCGGGAGGCAGAGCTTGCAGTGAGCCAAGATCGAGCCACTGTACTCCAGCCTGGGCAATGGAGCAAGAGACTCCGTCTCAAAAAAAAAAAAAGAAAAAAGAAAAAAAAAGACCAGCCTGGATAACATAGGAAGACCTTGTCTTTACAAAAAAATTTAAAAATTAGGCAGCCAGGCATGGTGTCGTTCACCTGTGTTCCCATCTGCTTGGGAGGCTGTGGTGGGAGGATCACTTGAGCCCAGAAGATTGAGGCTGCAGTGTCTGGGTGACTGAACAAAACCCTGTCCCCAGAAACAAAACAAAACAAAACAAAACTGTCATTTTTGTGTCCTTCCTCGAAACTCCCAACTACCTAGGTCCAAATTCAGGTCCTCCTGAGCTTTCCTGGGAGCATCTCCCCATCCTGATAATGGAAATTTGACTATCTGTGTAACTATTTATTCTGAGAGGCTGTCCTGGCAGATAGAGGTGTGGGCCGATTGATTGGCTTTGGCACTCTCAGCTTCCTCCTACGTCTGCTTTGCAGGGCAGAGTTACAGGCTCCCTACCTGTTTGTTCCCTGGACGGTGTGCTTATCGAGAAGACCTTAGGAGGAGTGAGCGCCCACACTGTGGAATGCTAATTCTTCTCCTCTCCTTTCACTCATCTCCAGAGCTGCCTTTGGCCAGTGACTGCTGGGAAATAGACAATTGCAGACAAATAATAGCTAATACTTAAATAGTACTCAAACCATGTTCCAGACACTGCTTTAAATGCTTTACATTTGTTAACTTATTTACTCCTCATAACCTTATGGGATAAGTTTACTATTATTCCCATTTTATAAGTGAGGAAACTGAGGCCCAGAAAAATTAAGTAACATGGCTAACATTACATAGCAAATAAGTGGCAGAACTAAGATTTGAACCCAGACAGTCTGGTGCCAGAATCTGTGCTGTTCTGACTCTATAATGCAAATTGGCCAGTGGTCAGTTTATATCCAGCAAGATTTGGATCCAGTTCCTTTTTTCTATTTTGTGCACAAATGGTTCCACAGCACACCATCCCTTAAGTGCCATTGTGGTATGTATGAATAGTATTTATTGAATTTCATCACTTTTCTGCCTGTTTAGTGGGTTGCATGTCTTTTTCTTATCATAGCACTCATTTGTTTCCTTTTATAGTACCTATCACAAGCCATTATTATGGGTGTTTGCTCTGTGTTTATTGTAGCCTCCCTACCTGGAACATAATCTTGTGAAGGTCGCATCACGCTTTTCAGGTTTACTTGCTCATCTCATAGCCTAGTCTAGGGTCTGTGATGAGCGGCATTCAATAAATAGGATGTTGAACAAATGAACCAGGGGTCGGGCGAGTGCTTTAATAAGTCTGATATTATTGTATGAGAAATACAGAAATAGGGAAGTTATTTTTTACTTCATCCAAACGTTATACTTTATTTATTTATTATTTATTTATTTATTTATTTATTTATTTATTTATTTTTTTGAGACGGAGTTCAGTCAATGCCCAGGCTGGAGTGCAGTAGCATCACAATCTTGGTTCACTGCAATCCTTCACCTCGGTTCAAGAATTTGTACTCTGCCTCCATATTGGGATTACAGGCACCTGCCATCATGCCTGGCTAATTTTGTATATATTTGTAGAGACAGGGTTTCACAATTTTGGCCAGGCTAATCTTGAACTCCTGATCTCAGGTGATCACCCTCTCGGCCTCCCAAAGTGCTGGGATTACAGGTGTGAGCCACTGCCTGGCCTGTACTTTATTTCATAGCCAGTACATTGTGCACTTGGCCCTAGTCTTCATTTTTACGTTCATTTTTCAAGGCTTTGAATATACTTGACTAGGAGGTAGTAGTAATAGAAAATAACAGAAATATTGAGTCAGCGTATGGTTTCATTTGATAGGGATGGTTATCATTCAGCTTCACGTCTGTAATTTGAGATATATTGATGTCCAATTAGCTTGAGATTATATTCTGTGTCACATCAGAGAAAACCAAAGGCTCTACGAGGTTCATTATTAGACAGGAAATTAAACTGGAAGCGCTTTGCCTTTTTTGGGATTCTCATTGACAGAGTGAATCTTGTCTTGCCTAATGTAAGACTTTCTGAGATAGTTACAGGCTTCATCAACAGAAATTCACTAGGCTAGGATGGTAATTTTTTTTATTTTGAGAAATGTAAAACTTGGAGCATGACTAGAATAAATCTCAGTTAACTTTCGTAGTCCTTTTTTTTTCCACCCAACCACTTTAGTGCGGCATCTACTCAGCAGCTCAAAGATCTGTCTGCTTTATTCAGTTCCTGAGCTGCATACATCTTTAACTTATTGGCTTGGTTAAGATCTTTTAGAGTAGAGGGTACAACCACCAATATAGCTTACACCAGAGGCAATCCAGGATGTCTAGGAACTTATGCACACAACTAGCAATTAAGAAAGTAGAGAGGGAAATGCCTACTAAAAGCTCCCAAGTTGATTCCTCTTTTCAAGAGAGCTAAGCTGAAAGTTAGAATCTCTGCTCCAATTACAAATACTCTAGGGGAAAGGATACTGACCCAGCATAACAGATGCCTCCTGACTCCAGTAAGCTGTGGCATAAGGTTACGTTCCACAGACATGGCAGCCAAGACCCACCCCCTGTAACGTGTGGATGACACAGAAGGGCAGCCCCAGGAAAGAAGAGATCCTAGGCAGATACACACACATAGGTATCTATAATATCTACTGAACATTAATTATAAATTCTTTGAATATGTTCAGAAGCTCTGAAACCTCTCACTGCTACCCAGCAACAACCCTCTTCATTTCCATTTCCTTTTATATTTCCTATTTTATTTTTGAGATGAAGTCTCACTCTGTCACCAGGCCAGAGTGCAGTAGCACAACTTCACTTACACCCTCTGGGCTTCCAGGTTCAAGTGATTCTCCACTTCGCCTCCCAAGTAGCTGGGATTACATGTGTGCCAACACAGCCGGCTGATTTTTGTATTTTTAGTAAAGACAGGGTTTCATCATGTTGTCCAGGCTGATCTCAGCCCTGACTCTATGATCCACCACCTCAGCCTCCCAAAGTGCTGGGATTACAGTAAGGAGCCTGAATGCGCCCGCCAGCATGTGTAGTTTATTAATGTGTCTGCCCCCAGCTAGTGGAAAAATGATGTAAAGCATGGTATTGTAAAACTTTGGCAACTGGAGGTTCATTCTGCTTTTTCTGAGACCTTATATGGTCTGTTACAGGAACACATATAGAAATAACTATGGTGTGGTCCGTGCCACTATAAGAGGCTTACCCAAAGGAAAAACAGACCAGTTATACTAACATATCATGACATTGGTCCTCAACCGTATGTATTTGATTTTACACCTTCCTTCATCATACTTGATCTTTGTATATTAAAACCAAACAACAATAATATTCTAATAGAGCAGAGGTTTTCCCCTCTCTGTGGTAACCTTCCCTCCTTGTTCATTTGTTAATGGTATAAAGTTCCTGGGAAGTGTGCAGGGGAATATATTTTGGGGATCCTGGAATCATATTCTCACTTCACTCATAAGACTGAAGATTACATGTAAATGAATTTGCTTAAGAAAGTAGAACTCAAATCCATAACTTAAGCCTTTACTTTGTTTTTTTGTTGTTGTTTGTTTGTTTGTTTCCAGGTTAGTAACGGTTGGAACTTAACTTTTGTTGTGAGCTCTTCAATGAAATTAGTAAAAGAGTTCTTGCTAGAGTCTGTCACCAGTGACTTTAAGTGGACTTTCTAGATGGTGATGTAAGATTCTGGCTCCCAGCCATGGACACACAGAGTCTGCACATGGTTTTCTTCACGCTGCTCTGGCTTCTATAATGCCCTGCATTTGAGGCTACGGTTGAGTGTTAAAGCTTTTTTGTAGCTGCTCTTGCATGAGAGAAGTAGATTTAAGCAGGTGTACAAAGAGGGTAGAAGTGAAGCAGCAGCTCCCTCCCTGCACTCCCCTCCTGGCACTGTCAGAGGCAACCTCATGAGGTGAATGTGGAGCAGCTCAGAACATTCACTCTACCTGTGCCTGGGATATAATCAGTGTCTTTTTTGTGATAGAGGAATAACAACCATGAAATGACAGCATTATGGGTGTAAAGATTATTTTGTGCAATAACGAAGCTACCAAACATTAACAAAAAGACTTCACTTTGCAGACATATTTATTTGAGACCATTAATATGTATTCAATATGAGATGTCTTATATTCAGCCTTTAGGGCAGCTTGAATCATAGATTGTTCAGACACCTCACTTTGGTGATTGGTGAAGAAAAGCAGTGAAAGGAGGTGAGATAGGCATTGACTGGTGGGAGAAAATAGAGGAGACACGAGAGCCTGGGACTATGGGTATTTTTGCCTTACAGATAAATCTGTTTCATGCATTCTTTAACTTTGAGGATATGCACGGCAGATCACCAGCACTTTGCTGTCTGTCATGTGGATGGTCCAGCTACAGGAAGGTGCACTCCTCTTCCCAAAAAGGTAAGGCCGGCAAAAGATCATCTGGGAGATAAGCACCAGATAACTATTGAGCTCCAATGGGAGAAGTGGTTTGTGCTTCTTGATTTTGCCATAACATAGGTTATACTTATTGGATCATCCATCCTCATATTTTCTCTTCTTGGGCTGAGAGATCATTGAGCAGTTTTTTTGGGAATCAGATGTTTTCCACATCCAGGATATCATAGCAGGTGTCGCTTTCCTGTAATCTCAAGGTATAAGTGTCTGAACACCTACTTTTATCAGTTTTATCTTTCCTTCCTTATCTATTTGGTGTTGTCATTTTTAGCCAGACTTAAGATCAGCACCTATAATCCCAGCACTTTGGGAGGCCAAGGCAGGAGGATTGCTTGAGCTTCTGAGTTCAAGACCAGCCTGATATAATGAGTGCGTGTGCCTTTATGCCTATGGGTCCTGTACTTTGGGAGGCCAAGGCAGATCATTGAGGCCAGGAGATCAAGACCATTCTGGCTAATATGGTGAAACCATCTCTACTAAAAATACAAAAATTAGCTGGGTGTGGTGGTGCATGCCTGTAGTCCCAGCTACTGGGAGGCTGGGCAAGAGGAATGGCCTGAACCTGGGAGGCAGAGTTTGCAGTGAGCCAAGATCGGCGACTCAGCCCAGCCTGGGCATGGAGCAAGAGATCTGTCTCAAAAAAAAAAGAAAAGAAAAAAAAAAAGACCAGCCTGTTGGGGAGTAGGAAGATCTGTCTTCACAAAAATTTAAAAAATTAGGCAGCCAGGTGGTGGTGTCATTCACCTGTGTTCCCATCTGCTGAGGCTGTGAGGATCACTGAGCCCAGAAGATTGAGGCTGCAGTGCCTAAGACTTGAACAAAACCTCATCCCCAGAAACAAAAACAAACAAACAAAACTGTCATTTTGTGTCTCTCAAACTCCCAACTACCAGGTCCAAATTCAGAAATCCTCCTGAGCTTTCCCTGGGGGACAATTATCCTGATAAATAAAATTGATCATCTGTAATTCATTATTCTGGAGGCTGTCCTGGCAGATAGAGGCAAATGATTGATTTGTTTGGCACTCTCAGTTTCCTCCCACGCCTGTTTTGCAGGGCAGAGAGTTGAGCAGGCTCCTACCTGTTTGTTCCTGACGGTGTGCTTATCGAGAAGACCTTAGGAGAGTGAGCATTACACCAGGAATGCTAATTCTTCTCCTCCCCACTCATCTCCTCAGAGCTGCCTGGCCAGTGACTGCTGGGAAATAGACAATAGAGACAAATAATAGCTAATACTAAATAGTACTAAACCATGTTCCATACACTGCTTAAATGCTTTACATTTGTTAGTCTCATTTTACCTCATAACCTTATGGACAGCTTACTATTATTCCTAGCTTTATGGGAGGAAACCGAGTTCAGAAAAATTAAGTAACATGGCTAACATTACATAGCAAAATAAGTGCAGAACTAAGATTTAACCAGACAGTCTGGTGCCAGAACTGTGCTGTTCTGACCATAATGCAAATTGGCCAGTGGTCAGCTTCTATATCCAGCAAGATTTGATCCAGTTCCTTTTTCTATATTTTGTACAAATGGTTCCACAGCACACCATCCCTTAAGTGTTCAGGCAGAGGCAGGCTGACTTCCCTGTCAGATATAGAACAGATACTGCCTCATATATAAGTGGTCATCTTAGGATCAATTCCCATCTCTTCAATTCTGTAATCGCTTTTTTTTTTTTTTTTTTTTTTTTTTTTTGGAGATAGGATATTGCTTTGTTTCCCAGGCTGGAGTACAGTGGTGTGATCATGGCTCACTGCAGCCTCAACCTCCTGGGCTCAAGTGATCCTCTCATCTCAGCCTCCCTACTAGCTGGAACTACAAGTGTGCACCAACACGCCTGGCTAAGTTTTGTATTTTCAACACGTCCAGCTAATTTTTGTATTTTCTTTTTTTGTTGTTGTTTTTTTGAGACGGAGTCCCACTCTCTCACCCAGACTGGAGTGGCGAGATCTCTGCTCATTGCAAGCTCCACATCCCGGGTTCACACCATTCTCCTGCCTCAGCCTCCCAGGTAGCTGGGACTACAGTCACCTGCCACCACTCCCGGCTAATTTTTTGTGTTTTTAGTACAGACGGGGTTTCACCGTGTTAGCCAGGATGGTCTCGATCTCCTGACCTCGTGATCCGCCCTCCTCGGCCTCCCAAAGTGCTGGGATTACAGGCGTGAGCCACCGCACCCAGCCAATTTTTGTATTTTCTGTAGAGACAGGGTTTTGCCCTGTTGCTCAGGCTGGTCTCGAACTCCTGGGCTCAAGCAATCTGCTTGCCTCAGCCTCCGAAAGTGTTGGGATTACAGGCGTGAGCCAACGCTCCCAGTCAGATGCTTACTACTTTTCTAAGAATTCTGATCTGGGTCTGTTCCTGGGCTTGCTTGAACATCTTAGGATCAGATGGGTCATACTATGAACCAAATTCAAAAACAGTAAAAATAACCATGCCAGACACAGTGGCTCACACTTGTAGTTCTAGCACTTTGTTAGGTTGAGGTAGGAGGATCACCTGAGACCGGGAATTCAAGACCAGCCCTGGCAACATAGCGCGACTCCATCTCTACAAAAAACTGAAAAATTAGCCAGGCGTGGTGGCACGCACCTGTAGTCCCAGCTACACAGGAGACTGAGGCAGGAGGATAGCTTGAGCCCCAGAGTTCAAGGTTATAGTGAGCTGTGATTTCACCACTGCACTCCAGCCTGGGTGACAGAGTGAGACCATGTCTCTTAAAAATTTAATAATAAATTTTTAAAAATAACTATATTATTCTATGCCTAAGTGAAACAAATAGGCATTCATGCTAGGGTTTGTAACTGTGTGCCCATAACTAGAAAACCTTTGTTTATTTTTGCATTTAGTTGTCTAAATATAGCAGTAGACCAAGACCCACTTACTGAGTTGACTCTTACTGCCAGAGGTTTACTGAGCCTGGACTCCAACTGAAGTGATTGTTAGAGGTTTGGAAATACCCTAAGAGAGAACCGTGTTACTAATTCTTTTCATGTGGCACCCTCTGGTCCCAAGGGCTGCTCGTTAGGATATAGAAACAGTGGATTCTTTTACTTTCTCCTTAGCACGGCAGTTGTAGAGATTTACACAATATGCCACAATCATTTTCAGGTACCACATCACCTCCTTTGAGCCTTTGGTAAAAGGAAATGCTTTTATCTAAGACTTCTTTTTTTTTTTTTGGAGGGGGGCAAAATTTCGCTCTTGTTGCCCAGGCTGGAGTGCATTAGCGTGATTTCTGCTCAATGCAACCTCCACCTCCCAGGCTCAAGCGACTCTTCTGCCTCAGCCTCCCGAGTAGCTGGGATTATAGGCACGCACCACCATGCCTGGCTAATTTTGTATTTTTAGTAGAGATGGGGTTTCTCCATGTTGGTCAGGCTGGTCTCGAACTCCTAACTCAGGTGATCTGCCCACCTCGGTATCCCAAAGTGCTGGGATTATAGGCATGAGCCATTGTGCCCAGCCTTTTATCTAAGACTTCTGTACCTTTCCAGCTGTTCTAGTAACTGGGAATTGTGAGTACTTTCTAATTCAGGAGATATCCTTCTGGATTTCAGGTATCAGTACCCTACAATGGATGAGCTGGCCGAAATGCTGCCTCCTGTTCTTACCCACCTAAGGTAGGTTCATTCTGTAGTCTTTCGTGCAGTTTTTATTGACTTTCTATGGTGAATTCTTTAGTGTCTGTTTCAGAGGATACGATGGTTAGGAAAACAATAGTCACTGTCCTTCTAGAGCTTAGTGGGGTAACAAGTAAGCAAACAAATAATAAAGTTTTATAAAATAAGTCAGTGGGGGTGTTGTGATAGAGAATAAGGGCAGGATCTACATTAGTAAGGCTAGTGAGGGAATTCCTCTCTAGGAAGGTGGCACATACGCTGAGACCTAGAAGATTTAGAAATCTACCTTGAGCTGGGCCCAGTGGTGGGATCACAACTCACTGTAGCCTCAAACTCCTGTCGTTAAGTGAAGATCACTTAACGACAGGAGTTTGAGGCTACAGTGAGTTGTGATCCCACCACTGCACTCCAGCCTGAGTAACAGTGACACCCTGTATCTAAAAAATAAAAATAAAGCTGTTTAAATTTTTTCTAAAGGGTTCATCTCACTATGAAGAGAATGCTTTGGAGAGGAATCAAGAGAAAGCCCAGGGAGAACAGTGCAAACTTAACAATAGTCAGGCAGAGATAATGCGAAAGCATAGTATTGGATGCTGCTGTTGAGATGATTGAGTAGATAGTAGTAGATAGATGGATATATTCTGGAGGTGGACTCCACTGACTTGCTGATGGGTTGGATACTGACAGTAAACACCAGGATAACTCCCAGGTTTCAGTTTTATATATATATGTATGTGTGTGTGTGTGTGTGTGTGTATGTATATGTCTGTGTGTGTGTATATATGTGTGTGTGTGTGTGTGTATATATATACACACACTACTTTTTGTTTTTTGTTTTTTTTGAGATGGAGTCTGATTCTGTTGCCAGGCTGGAGTGTAGTGGTGTGATCTTGGCTCACTGCAACCTCTGCCTCCCAGGTTCAAACGATTTTCCTGCCTCAGCCTCCCATTTAGCTGGGATTATAGGCACAGGCCACCATCACCTGGCTAATTTTTTTTGTACTTTAGTAGAGACGGGGTTTCATCATGTTGGCCAGGCTGGTCTTGAACTCCTGAAGCCTTTAGTGATCCACCCCGCCTTGGCCTCTCAGTCCTGGGATTATAGGCGTGAACCACCGCCCCCAGCCTTGAACTATATTTTATTTAACCATTAAAACCAACTTGAGAAGTAGGTTGTGGGATCCTTATTGTTGTTGTTTTGAGACAGTCTCACTTTTTATCCCCTGAGTTGGAGTGCAGTGGCGTGCTCTTGGCTCACTGCAGCCTCTGCCTCCCAGGTTCAAACGATTCTCCTGCCTCAGCCTCCTGTTTAGCTGGACTACAGGCGCACACCACCATGCCTGGCTAATTTTTTGTATTTTAGTAGAGACGGGGTTTCACCATATTGCGTGGATCAGTCTTGATCTCCCGACCTCGTGATCCACCTGCCTCAGCCTCCCAGTGCTGGGTTCCAGGCAGGAGGATTACAGGCATGAACCACCTAGATGGGATCCTTGTTTTTTTTTTTTTTTTTTTTTTTTTTTGGGCAGAGTCTCGCTCTGTAGCCCAGGCTGGAGTGCAGTGGCCGGATCTCAGCTCACTGCAAGCTCCGCCTCCCAGGTTCATGCCATTCTCCTGCCTCAGCCTCCCGAGAAGCTGGGACTACAGGCGCCCGCCACCTCGCCCAGCTAGTTTTTTGTATTTTGTAGTAGAGACGGGGTTTCACCATGTTAGCCAGGATGGTCTTGATCTCACAGCCTCGTGATCCACCCGTCTCGGCCTCTAAGTGCTGGGATTACAGGCTTGAGCCACGCGCCCGGCCGGGATCCTTGTTTTATAGATAGGAAAGGAACCGAGGCTCAGAAAGTTAGGAAAAGAAAAAACTTCATGACCAAATTCTCACGTCTAATAAATATCAGAGCCAGGATTTCAACCCAGGTTGTATGCTTTCAATTATGCAGTGCTGCCTCCAAATGAAATTGACTCTGTCATTTGTCATTATGTCCTATTCACAGCCTGAAAAGCATCGTTGGAATTGGAGTTGGAGCTGGAGCTTACATCCTCAGCAGATTTGCAGTAAGTATATAGAGGATTAGCCTCCAACGTGGCAGGCACTGCCTGGAGTCACAGCCCCTATTATGCTGTGTTAAATGACCAGGCAGTATTCTGAGACATGTCAATTTTTCTGTAACTTCTGTCAGCTTTAGATGCAGTGTATAAAACCTTGCTTTGTACTAATGTGAAAAATCACAAATGGAGACAGTCGTCATCAATAAAAAGCCATTCCTAGATGCTTATAATGGAATTTTGTACAGCCATTAAAATTAAGTTTACAAAAAGCTTTATAATGATATATGGTTTGCATACATTATAATGTTAACAAAAAAGGATTAGAATAGGAGATAGAATATGACAAAGCGTAAAGTTTGTATAACTGTAGAAAGGCTAGAAGCAAACACCTTCAAATAGTAATGGATTGATGTGGTAAGATAATGTGAAATTTTATTTTTTTCTGCTTTTATAATTTCTCTGCTTATCAAATTTTCTACAGTGAATGTAATCACTGTAGTAAGAGAGAAAAAAGTAGAGGTAGGGGCTGGGCGCAGTGGCCCAAGCTTGTAATCCTAGCACTTTGGGAGTTGGCGTGCAGGCAGATCACCTGAGGTTGGGAGTTCGGACCAACCTGGCCAACATAGTGAAACCCCATCTCCACTAAAAATACAAAAATGAGCCAAGGCGTGGTGGCGGAGTGCCTGTAATTCCTGGCTACTTGGGAGGCTGAGGCAGGAGAATTGCATGAATCCTGGAAGCCAAGGTTGTAGTGAGCTGAGATTGCATCACTGCACCAGCCTGGGCAGCAAGAGTGAAACTTTGTCTCAAAATAAATAAATTAATTAATTAAATAAGCTAGAGAGCTAGAACTGGATTTAAAGAAATTTTTTTTTTTTTTTAGAGACAGAGTCTTGCTCTGTCACCCAGGCTGGAGTGCAAAGCGCAATCTTGGCTCTCTGCAACCTCTGCCTCCCAAATTTAAGTGATTCTCCTGCCTCAGCCTCCTGAGTAGCTGGGATTACTGGCGCCCGCCAATGCTCCTGGCTAATTTTTGTATTTTTAGTAGAGATGGGGTTTCACCATGTTGGTCAGGCTGGTCCCTAACTCCTGACATCATGATCCTCCCCTCTCACCCTCCCAAAGTGCTGAGATTACAGGCGCAGAAGCCACTGTACCCCGACAGAAATTATCATCATTATTTTTTTCAATACCTCCTCCAGTGATAGGAGAGTCTTCTGAGGATGATATAAACTGTTCACGTGGTTTTGGGGAAAAAAAAAAAAACAACTTTGGAAGCCCCTGTTGAGAACAAAGATATATGAGTGTGGAGCAGCTGCTTGTGCCAGCAACCTTTCCCAGTAAGACAGATCCACCATGGGTTGAACAACTGCATATAGATCTTTTGCAAAGGCAAGATAATTTGATAGTAAAATAAGTAATTTGATAGTAAAACCAGAAACTGGTTTCCAGATGCTAAGTCAGATTTCAAGAGCTATTTTTCACATATTTCTCCTTCTTTTTTGTAGTTTTACTTTCAAATGTGAGGCATTAAGGCATGTAAGAAAGAATTGATCAATCATGTTCAACTATTTACAGAAGAACTGTGGGTGTAACCATACTGTAAGTCTTTACCTCATCTTTCAGCTCAACCATCCAGAGCTTGTGGAAGGCCTTGTGCTCATTAATGTTGACCCTTGCGCGAAAGGCTGGATTGACTGGGTAGCTTCCAAAGTGAGTGCCACATGAAGAGGTGTCCATCGGCTCTATCTGCTTCCATATCAGAACTAACTTACCAATTTCATTGAGGTATATATACAGTTAAGGGTAAAAATGTTAATGCAGCAGACTGCATATAAATCTGCATCAATCAAGATACTTCAGAATGTTCCCAGCTCACTAGGGGATTCCTTTGTATCTTTTCCTAATTGATACTTCTTCTCCTTCCCAGAAATTACCTGTTCTAACTGTTGCCACCAGAGATAAGTTTTATCTGTTTTTAAGCAGTTTCATCTGTTAAATTGGAATCGTAGCTTTTTTTTTTTTTTTTTTTTTTTTTTTTTTTTTTACAGAGTCTCACTCTGTCACCTAGGCTGGAGTGCAGTGGTGCAATCTCAGCTCACTGCAACCTCCGCCTCCTGGTTCAAGCGATTTCTCTGCCTCATCCTCCCGAGTAGCTGGGACTACAGTGCCAGTGCCACCACGCCCGAAAGCTAATTTTTGTATTTTTAGTAGAGATGGGGTTTCACCATTTTAGCCAGGCTGGTCTCGACTCCTGACCTCATGAGGATTCACCCACGTTGGCCTCCCAAAGTGCTGGGATTACAGGCGTGATCACTGTGCCTGGCCAAAGAAATGTATTCTCTGTCTGGTTTTCTTTCATTCATCACGGTGTTTGTGAAACTCATCCAAGTTGTGTGTAGCAGTAGTTCTAAATTACAGTTTGTTGGTAGCGGTGTCATGCCTGTAATCCCAGCACTTTGGGAGGCTGAGGTGGGCGGATCACTTGAGGTCGGGAGTTCGAGACCAGCCTGACCAACATGGAGAAACCCCATCTCTACAAAAATACAAAATTAGCTGGGTGCATGCCTGTAATCCCAGCTACTCGGGAGGCTGAGGCAGGAGAATCCTTGAACCTGGGAGGCGGAGGTTGCAGTGAGCTAAGATCGTGCCACTGTACTCCAAGCCTGGGCAGCAGACAAGACTGTCTCAAAAAAAAAAAAAAAATGATTGTAGTGGCACACGTCTGTGGATTTCCAGCTGCCGGTAAGCTAGAGGGTGGGAAGAGAATGCTTGAACCCGGCAGGTCGAGGCTGTAGTGAGCCATGATCATGCCATTTGGACTCCAGCCTGGGTAAAGCAGAGGCAGACCCTGTCTCGAAAAAAAAAAAGAATCTGGCTGGGCATGGCGGCTCATGCTGCAGTGTCTTTTGGAGGCCAAGGCAGGAGGATCAGCTTGAGTCAGGCGTTTTAAGACCAGCCTTGTCAACAGAACAAGACTTTGTCTCTACAAAAATGTAAAAGTTGGTATGTGCTTGTAGTCCCAGCTACTCAGTAGGCTGAAGGGAAAGGATTTCTTGAACCCAGGTGTTCAAGGCTGCAGTGAGCCACGATCATGCTACTGCAATCCTGCCTGGGTGACAGAGAGAGACCTTATCTAAAAAAAAAAAAAAAAAAAGCTTTATTGATACTCAAACCCATGAGATTCAATAAGTTGATATCTAGGAACTTATTTGAAAGGTAGTTAGTGATCTTTAAAAAGATTTAAAGAGGGCAAAGTATGGTGGCTCACGTCTGTAATCCCAGCACTTTGGGAGGTCGAGGTGGGCAGATCACCTGAGGTCAGGAGTTCGAGACCAGCCTAGCCAACATGGTGAAAACCCTGTCTCTACTAAAATACAAAAATGAGCAGGACGTGGTGGCACACACCTGTATTCCCAGCTACTGGGAGGCTGAGGCAGGAGAGGCTGAGGCAGGAGAATCACTTGAACCCAGGAGGCAAAGGTTGCAGTGAGCCGAGATTGTACCACTGCACTCCATCCAACCTGGGTGACACAGTGAGACTCCATCTCAAAAAAAAAACAAACAGACAAAAAAAGGATTTAAAGAGATGGATAATAATTTTTTTTTTTTTAATGTAACACCTATATTGTGCTTACTATGTACCAGGTACTGTTCTTAAATGTCTTTTTTGTTTCTTGTTTTTTGTTTTTTGAGACAGAGTTTCACTCTTGTTGCCCAGGCTGGAGTGTGCAATGGCATGATCTCAACTCACTGTACCCTCCGTCTCCCGCATTCAAGTGGTTCTCCTGCCTCAGCCTCCTGCGTAGCCAGGATTACAGATGCATGCCACCACGCCCAGCTAATTTTTGTATTTTTAGTAGAGACGGGGTTTCACCACGTTAGTCAGGCTGGTCTCTAACTCCTGACTTCATGATCTGCCCATCTTAGCCTCCCGAAGTGCTGGGATTACAGGCGTGAGCCCCCGCGCCCAGCCAAATGTTTTAGATATACTTAACCTTTTCATCCTCAGAACAATCCATTGGTACTATTACTATCCTACAGAGAAATTATTTACTTAAAATTACATTGCTAGTAAGGGGGTTGCAGACCCAGAATATTCATTAAAGCATTGTTTTAATGCTTTAAAGCATTCATTAAAGTGGGCGGATCACTTGAGGTCAGGAGTTCAAGACCAGCCTGGCCACCTGGCCAACATGGTGAAGCCCATCTCTACTAAAAATACAGAAACATAGCCAGGTGTGGTGGCGCACACCTGTGGTCCCAGCTACTCGGGAGCTGAGGTTGGAGAACCACTTGAACCTGGGAGGTGAAGGTTGCAGTGAGCCTGGATTGCGCCACTTCACTCCAGCCTGGGTGACAGAACAAGAGAACAAGACCCGGTCTCAAAAAAAAGAAAAAAAGAAAAGAAAACAAACAAATGATGTCTTTTGTATTGTTTTTTCGTAATTTTCTGTGATAAGCATATTTTTATTGAAACTGTTAAAATATTCTAGTCACCAGCAAACTGCAATCTAAATATCCATTTCTTCCTATGTTTACATTTTTGAGAAATGAGGTATTTCTTAGCTGAAACACATTAACAGTGCTATTGTCAGATGCTGTGGAAATTCCTTCTCTCAGCCTGCCTTATTTAAAATTTGTCCTGGCTGGGTGCAGTGTTTCACACTGCTAATCCTAGCACTTTGGGAGGGTGAGGCAGGAGGATTGCTTGAGCTCAGGAGTTCAAGACTACCCTGGGCAACATAGTGAGACCTTGTCTCTATAAAAAATTTAAAAATTAGCCTGGTGTGGTGGTGCACACCTGTAGTCCCAGCTACTTGGTGGCTGAGGCCAGAAGACACTTGAGCCTGGGAGGTCAAGGCTGCAGTGAGCTATGATGGCGCCACTGCACTCCAGCCTGGGTGACAGAGCAAGACCCTGTCAGTCAATCAACCAAACGTGTCCTAATTCTTACTATGTGGGTACAATTCTTTTTTTTTTTTTTTTTTTTTGAGACGGAGTCTTGCTCTGTTGTCCAGGCTGGAGTGCAGTGGCACAATCTCAGCTTGCTGCAACCTCCACCTCCTGGGTTCAAGTGATTCTCCTGCCTTAGCCTTCCAAGTAGCTGGGACTACAGGCGTGTGCCACCATGCCTGACTAATTTGTATATTTTTAGTAGAGACGGGCTTTCACCATGTTGGTCAGCCTGGTCTCAAACTCCTAACCTCAGGTGATCTGCTGGCCTTGGCCTCCCAAAGTGCTGGGATTACAGGTGTGAGCCACCACGCCCGGCCTGATTTTCTAGTTCATAACCTGTGCATCACTGATAACCTATACAAAGATTTCGGGACTTCTTTCTGGGACTATATGATCCTACTCCAGGCATAGCCATGTCTGTTTCCCTCAGTGCCTCTTCTCCATGCCTACCCCCAATTCAGTACTTCACCCCTGATCAGCAGTACGAGTTCAGCATAAAACCAAGGAAGAAGGCTTAACAGGAATCAGCAACATAATTTGAGTTGGAAATTTTTCTGAAAATAGACTACAGTATGTGGATTTACACAGATTGCTGCATTTATTAGACTATGAGATGCATCATTTTGAAATGGGAAAAATTAGGAGAAAAATGTTTAAAACTCAAGAACATTCTGTAAACAACTCATTTCCTCCTACTTCCTGAAATGAAGATAGCAAAAACGAGAAGAAAGAGAAAAAAATTGTTTTTGTCTCTTGGAAGTCATGGGAGTGATTGTTAGTCCTCATCAACCAGTGTAAATACGGAAATACAGACAGGAATAAAATATCAAACAGCCATGAGGTCTAGGTCTCAGGCTTTCAAAGAAGGAATGTTCAGTGTCTCTTCCAGTCCCCTGTTTCACAGCAGGCTTTATTATAACCCTGGAAAGGAGACAGCTTTTTCTGATTTGTTTCTCATCTCTGTGTTTCTTTGAAACCATGAAAATGTATAACAATGAATTGTGGGGTTTTTCTCTTTTTTTTGAGACGGAGTCTCACTGTGTTGCCCAGGCTGGAGTGCAGTGGCACAATCTCGGCTCACTGCAAGCTCCGCCTCCCGGGTTCACACCGTTCTCCTGCTTCAGCCTCCAAAGTAGCTGGAACTACAGGCACCTGCCACCACGCCCAGCTAACTTTTTTGTATTTTTAGTAGAGATGGGGTTTCACCATGTTAGCCAGGATGGTCTCGATCTCCTGACCATGGTCCGCCCATCTTAGCCTCCCAAAGTGCTGGGATTACAGGTGTGAGCCACCGTGCCCGGCCAAGGGTTTTTCATTTGTTTTTTAAGAGATAACATATATAATAAAGTGCGTTCATTTTAATTGGGTAGCTTGATAAATTTTTGCATCTGCTTACATTCTTAACACAGAGTTTTTATCTTTTCAGCTCTCTGGCCTGACAACCAATATTGTGGACATTATTTTGGCTCATCACTTTGGGCCGGTAAGTACCTGTTCCACCCAGAAGAACTGTGTTTATTGGTTTGCATGCAAATTCTTATTTTACCTCAGGAAAGAAGGGTTACCTTAGAATTTACCTGACCCTAGTAAATAACAGTTCCAATGTAGTCTGAAAAGCATGTGGCCCTGCAAAGGTGAATCTTTAACTCATTGCCACGTGACTGTTGACATGTGGAGCTATGAGAGAAGATAGCATCTCCTGCTACCTGTTCCTGTAAGTAGCATGCCATCTGTTAATGTTTGACATCATGTGCCTCCCCAGACATCTTTAGAGCCATTAGGAGGTCTGGGAAAGGCTTCACAGAAATAGACATTTCAGGGGGAAAACCGTGAAATAATAGTGCTGAAAGAAGCTTAGAGATTATCTTGTTCAAGCCCCGTGTTTTTCAACTGGTGAGGAAAACGAAGTCTTCACAGAAGGTGACAGTTATCGTGTACATAATTGCTGGGTAGGGGAGGGAGCTTAACTGGTAGGCGAGGGGGACCCTTCAAAGGGAAAAGTGAGTTGGGTGACTGACAAAGGAGTGATGGAGTAAATGAGCAGTGAGGTCAGAGAGCTGTGAGGTGTCTGGAATGAGGAGACGAGCGTGGGTGCTCCATTGTAATCTGCTTAATTTAAAATACTATCTGAAGGAAAATGGCAGATGGAAAGAAAACTGCTAGTTTTTTTCCTTTCTGAGTACTGATTATTTATAAGTACTTTAGATTTGCAAACCAAGTTGCTTTTTACATGGTTCTATTAGTCTGATTTTAAGATAGGGAAACCAAAGACCAGAGAGGCCACATAACTTGCCACCACTGTCTAGATGGTAAGTGTGGAGCTGACATTTGAATCCAGGTCAGGCTAAGTCCGAAGTCCATAGTCTTTTATTTCATCATATTTTTATCAAAGTTACAAATTCACATATATTTTAGAGTAGAGAAGTTCTACAGGGCTTATTACAAAGAATCTGTCACCTATCCCATATTCTGCTTTTTAGTGGCAACCACTTTAATTCTTCCAGCTGACTCCTTTGGGTTTTGCCTCCATCTTGCCCTCTCTTTAATTGAGGTAATTCTTATACATAGTGTAATGCACACATCCTAAGTGCATCTCAGTGACCACTTACTGATGTATAGTTTCTTGTAACTACCACCCAGAACACAAATAAAACATTTTCATCACCCCACAAAGGTTTACTCATTATCCTTTCCCACTCAATAATTCCCCACCCCAAACAAGGTTTTCACTATTCTGTTACCTCCATAGATTAATTTTGACTGTTCTTAAACTTCATATAAATGGAATAACAGAGTGTTTACTTCTCTGAGTCTGGCTTCTTTTGCTCAACATACTATCTTGAGATTCATCCATGTCATTCCATGTGTCAGTAGTTCATTCTTTTTTATTACTGTGTAGCAGCAGTTCATTGTATTAATATACTACAAATTAGGGGTCGGACGCAGTGGCTCCACATCTATAATCCAGCACTTTGGGAGGCCGAGGTGGGCAGATCACTTGAGGTCAGGTGTTTGAGACCAGCCTGGCCAACATGGTGAAACTCCGTCTCTACTAAAAATACAAAAATTAGCGGGGCGTGGTGGCATATGCCTATAGTGCCAGCTACCTGGGAGGCTGAGGCAGGTGCCCCATAGTGGGACCCTGTCTTTATAAAAATTCAAAAATTGGCTGGGTGCCATGGCTCATACCTCTAATCCCAGCATTTTGGGAGGCCAAGGCAGGTGGATCACCTGAGGTCAGGAGTTTGAGTTCAGCCTGACCAACATGGAGAAACCCTGCCTCTACTAAAAATACAAAATTAGGCTGGGCATGGTGGCTCACACCTGTAATCCCAGCACTTTGGGAGGCCCAGGCAGGTGGATCACAAGGTCAGGAGTTCAAGACCAGCCTGGCCAACATGGTGAAACCCTACCTCTACTAAAAATACAAAAAAATTAGCCAGGTGTGGTGGCACACGCCTGTAGTACCAGCTACTCGGAAGGCTGAGGCAGGAGAATTGCTTGAACCCAGGAGGCAGAGGTTGCAGTGAGCCGAGATTGCACCATTACACCCCAGCTCTGGGCGACAGAGCAAGACTCCATCTCAGGAAAAACAAACAAACAAAAAATTAGCCTAGTGTGATGGTACATGCCTGTAATCCCAGCTACTCAGGAGGCTGAGGCAGGAGAATTGCTTGAACCCAGGAGGCGAAGGTTGCATTGAGCCAAGGTCGTGCCATTGCACTCCAGCATGGGCAACAAGAGCAAAACTCTGTCTCAAAAAAAAATTTTTTTCAAAAATCAGCCGGGCTTAGTAGCACATGCCTGTGGTCCCAGCTACTTGGGAGGCTGTGATGGGAGGATCACTTGAGCCCAGAGTTCGAGACCGGCCTGGGCAACATAGCAAAAAGAAATACTACTTCATATAGGCCTCTGAGGGGAAAGCTAAGGCCAGTATTTAATAATTTCCAAAAAGCAAGAACCTCCTCACTATATATAGAGAGTTTTATATATATATATATAGAGAGAGAGAGAAATATATATATAATATATATATTTTTAGTTTATAACATATATATAAATTAAACATATATATATGTTTAATTTAAAACATATGAGGTCACAGTGGATTTTCATAAGTCTTATTTTCGTAAGACTGAAGAGTTCATTAACATTTAAGCATCCAGGCTGGTCTGAAGGTAGGGAATTATCTGAATTGATTGTTCACAGTTAGTTACAGATTGAATTCCCTGTTCTACTCTTTCCCCTTTCTCACTACTGCTCTTGACCAGTTAAAAAGATAATAAAAATTAAAAATAAATTTTAAAACATGTAAGCAAGTTAATGCTTGTATTACTTTGAAATGGAAACAAACATGGTTTTTAAACATGAATAATGTTCAATTCACCAATAAGAGAAATAAATTAAAAATACGTTTGTACTAGCAAGGATGTGGGAAGACAGGTAGTGTAAATAAATGAGATAGCTCTATATATCCGGATAAGGAATGATCTTTACCATACTTTACAAGGAAAAGCAAGTGTAGAACAATGTCTAGAGGACTATAATTTGTGTTTTTAAAAACATGGGAGTCTGTTTATTTGTTTGTTTGTTGAGACAGGGTCTTGCTCTGTTGTTTGGGCTGGAGTGCAGTGGTGCCATCTTAGTTTACTACAGCCTCGACCTCCTAGGCTCAAGCCATCCTCCTCCTTCAGCCTCCTGAGTAGCTAGTATTACAGGCATGTACCACCACACTAAGCTAGTTTTAAAATTTTTTGTAGAGATGGGGGTCTCGCTATGTTAACCCACGCTGGTCTCAAACTCCTGGCCTCAAGAGATCCTCCTGCCTCAGCCTCCTAAAGTGCTGGGATTACAGGCATAAGCCACCACACCTGGCCTATCATTTGGTATTAACTTTTCTTATAATATCTTTAGAATGAGACTGGGGCTCTCACAAAGTTTTCTAGTAGTGATTCACGTACCCTTCAGTTTCAGGTAGACTCTTGTCAGTTTCCAACTGTATTCTGGGTTCATTTCATCCACATGGTTGTGAAAATGTGAAGAAAGTTTTTCCATATCTCTATTTCTCTAACAAGTCTTGGTCACCAGTAAACTTTACACATTGCCCTGGATTAACAGATTTCTTAATTATCCCTGATATTATTTCTTTCCTCCAATGCAAGAATTTTCCTTTCTGCTTAAAACTGCTTAATGATGTATGTGTGTATGCACACACGTATTTACATGTATGCTTATGTACTCAAGAATCTGGCAACTAGCTCTGATGACATCTGAGAAGGCCAGCAACAGAGTGACCATTAAACAGTGGGTGGTGGAGAGGGAGACTTTTCACTATATAGACCATTTTGTTTCTCTCGTATTTTATACCTTCAAAAGTATTGGTAATAAGATTAAAATAAATGAGCCAGGCACAGTTGAGTGTGCCTGTTGTCTCAGCTCCCCAGGAGGCTGAAGCAGGAGGATCGCTTGAGCCCAGGAGTTCCAAGCTGCAGTACAATATGATAGTGCCTGTGAATCTCCACTGCACTCCAGCCTGAGCAGCATAGTGAGTCCCCATCTCTGAAATAAAATTTAAAAGATTAAAATAAATAATGAATTACTAAATCAATAAAGTGTCATAAACGCAATGGAATATATAATTATACAGTGTATAATATTAAATGGTGGTACATATAGATAGGTAATACGCTGATTATATCATTGAATATATAGATAAGTTAATTGCACAGATTTATGGTTATTAGAAGAAATGCAGCCAGGTGCAGCAGATCACTTGAGGTCAAGAGTTCAAGACCAGTGTGGCCAACATGGTGAGACCCTATCTCTACTAAAAATACAAAAAAATTAGCTGAGCATGGTGGTGCATGTCCCTCATCCCAGCTACTCAGGAGGCTGAGGCAGGAGAATTGCTTGAACCCAGGAAGTGAAGGTTGCAGTGAGCTGAGACTGCACCATTGCTCAGCCTGGGTAACTGAGCAAGACTCTGTCTCATAAAAAAAGAAAAGAAATGTTACGCTCCATTCGTTTTACACTTTGTGGTTTATATGTTTCTATAACTTTTCTTACTTAATCTTTAAAACAGCCTTGTCAGATAGCTGGTTATTGTCTTCATTTTATAGTATCTCCGTTTTTGTGAAGAATGGCAGAACATTAAAAAAACACACAAAGAAATCAGGGTTCAGAGTGATGAGGTGACCCTAAGTTCCACAACTAGTACTTGAATCCTTTGCTGCCCTCATCTGACACAGAATATGGCACTGAACCAGTCTGATGCAAATCATCAGCCATTCAGCCTACGAGCACATCAGTAGTCCCCAGGCTCTGCCCCAGTTCCCATCATGAGCTGCACGATTTGACTCGTGGTAATGAAAATGCAAACCAAACAAGATGGACTTATTCTGGAGCTCAAAAGCTTGCCCACGTCTTCTTTAAATTGTTCTAGGAAGAGTTACGGGCCAACCAGGACCTGATCCAAACCTACAGAAAGCATATTGCCCAAGACATCAACCAACACAACCTGCGGCTCTTCTTGAATTCCTACAATGGGTATAGTTTTTTCCCATTTCTTCACTTAAATGTAAACAGCTCTAAAAAGAGGAGGGCGGGAGAAGGAGAGAGGACTGTATCTAATATTGGGACGAGCTTCTCTGAGGTGAAAATGTGAGCCCCTTCTGGCTTTCTAGAAACATGGACAAAGATTGAGGAAATGGATCAGCTGTAACTTAACCAAAGTTATACAGCCAGTAAGGAGTGAAGCCAGATTTTGAACCTTGTCTCTCTAGCTCTTTCCTCTATATAACAGAGCCTCCCTATTTTTAGTTGAAATCAGAAAGATTAAGCCCTGTGCTAAACCCAGTTACAAGGAAAACACCCCTCCCTCCTCCTCAAAGTGTAAGTCATTCTCTTAAGGAATTTATTCCTGTAAATTAAACACTTAGGGCCGGGCGCGGTGGCTCACGCCTATAATCCCAGCACTTTGGGAGGCCGAGGCAGGCGGATCTCAAGGTCAGGAGTTCAAGACCAGCCAGGCCAACATAGTGAAACCCCATCTCTACAAAAATACAAAAATTAGCCAGGCATAGTGGTGGGCGCCTGTAGTCTCACCTACTTGGGAGGCTGAGGCAGGAGAGTCACTTGAACCCGGGAGGCGGAGATTGCAGTGAGCTGAGATCACGCCACCGCACTCCAGCCTGGGTGACAGACTGAGACTCTGTCTCAAAAAAATAAATTAATTAAACACTTAGGACTTGAGAGTTTCAGTGGTGTTGCTGTTGAGTGTTGGGGCTGTCTCCTTGTAGCATCCCAAAGTGTCCTTCAGGGTTAAGCCAGGAGCCTCCTTCCTGCTCCGTACCAGATGCCACTGAAGTGGCGACTCAAGAACCAAGTCACAGGCCTCTTCCCTTCTCAGGTGTGAAGAAAAGATAGTTTCACCTTCCTTGATAAATTTTGGTGTTTATGACCAGAAAATAACCTGAGTTGCTATGACTTTACCCAAAAAGGGCATTGCTTCTGCTTTGTTTTTCTAGACGCAGAGACCTGAAGATTAAAAGACCCAAACTGGGCCAAAATGATAACAAATCAACAACATTAAGGTAAGTTCCTCAGTTTCCTCAGCTGACTTGCCAAATATCTTTGCCTTTCATAGACTAATTTGGTGTTCAGTGGAATTTATGTGCCTATTTGCTGAGTGACACCTCTTACTTTGCCTACCTAGGTGTTCTGCGTTACTGGTGGTAGGGGACTATTCGCCTGCAGTTGAGGCTGTGGTAAGTATGTCCTCATGCTGTGAAGATGAATGAGAACAAAATGTAATAAGACGTATAGGCCGGGTGCAGGGGCTCAGGCCTGTATTCCCAACACTTTGGGAGGCTGAGGCAGGAAGATCACTTGAGCCCAAGAGTTTGAGATTAGCCTGGGCAACACAGTGGGACCCTAACTCTACAATTTTTTTAAAAAAATTAGCTGGCGTGGCCGGGCGCGGTGGCTCACGCCTCTAATCCCAGCACTTTGGGAGGCCAAGGTGGGCGGATCATGAGGTCAGGAGATCGAGACCACCCTGGTTGACACGGTGAAACCCCATCTCTACTAAAAATACAAAAAATTAGCCAGGCATGGTGGCGGGCACCTATAGTCCCAGCTACTCGGGAGGCTAAGGCAGGAGAATGGTGTGAACCCAGGAGGCAGAGCTTGCAGTGAGCCAAGATCGTGCCACTGCACTCCAGCCTGGGCAACAGAGCGAGACTCCATCTCAAAAAATAAAATAAAATAAAAATTAGCTGGCATGGTGACAGCCTGTAGTCCTAGCTACTCTGGAGGCTGAGGTAGGAGGTTTGCTTGAGCTCAGGAGGTCAAGGCTGCAGTGAGCCATGATTGTGCCACTGCACTCCAGCCTGGGTGACAGAGTGAGACCCTGTCTCAAAAAAAAAGTATGTAGCACACTGCTGACACACTAGAAACAGTCAGTAAATACTAGTTTTTGTTCTTTCTGATTGCACATATCAGGGTTTGCTCTTTCATACATTTTGGAAAATTAATTCATCATTCGATTTCATTAGATGGGATCAGTTTTTTTCTTGATTGCTTTGTGTTGTGTAGTTCACTTTGTGGCAAGTAGTACAACTAAACACCGTTTACTTATTGTCAGATTTCTGACAGCCTCAGCCTTTAATCTGGAATAGATTACCACCATAAATCCAGCAGGCTGGAAGGCCACCTCTGCCTCCTTCTGAAGGACATAGCACATGGATAAAAATGATATTTGCTCATTGTAGAAAATATGAAAAAAATTTAAAAATAGAAGGATGAGGGGAAAATCATGATCCTATTACCTAAAGACAGAGTATTATTTTTTGCCTTATGTAGACCTGATTATATTAAATATACAAGATTTGGGGGCCTGACTTAACACTATTGATAGCATTTTTCCATTACAGAATCAGTATCTCTGTAGGTTTACCATTATTTAACTTTGTTCTCATGTTGATTAATTCCGATTTTGCACTATTAATGTTACTGTTGGCCAGGTGCGGTGGCTCACGCCTATAGTCCCAGCACTTTGGGAGGCCGAGGTGGGTGAATCACCTGAGGTCAGGAGTTCAAGACCAGCCTGGGCAACATGGTGAAACCCCGTCTCTACTAAAAATACAAAAAATTAGCTGGGTGTGGTGGCATGCCCCTGTATTCCCAGCTACTTGGGAGGCTGAGACAGGAGAATCGCTCAAACCTGGGAGTCAGAGGCTGCGGTGAGCCAAGATCGCACCACTGCACTCCAGCCTGGGTGAGACAGAGAGACACTCTGTCACAAAAAAATAAATAAAAATAAAAATAATGATACTGTTGGACATCCTTAGAAAATCTTTGAATCTTTTATTATTTCCTTGGGATGGATTTCCAGAAGTGGGATTAATGTGTCCAAAATTATAAATCTTTACAAAGTCTTTCATACATTTTGCCAGGTTCCTTTCCAGAAATAATACACCAGTATATTGCCACCAGCACTGTATAAGCATGCCTGTTTCACTGCACACTATCTAGCATCGAATCTTTTTTTATTAGTAGTTAATTCGATAGGTTGAAAATAGTATCTCACTGTTTTAATTTGCATTTATTTGATTACAAATGAAGTTGATAGTTTTTCATATGTCTTATTATGTGTTTCCTACAGCATATATCTCTTAACTAAATACTTAACTAAATATCTCTGTGAAATTACTTGATTTCTTTGCCCTAAATAGAGCAAAATATTATGGAGTAAAGCTTTTTGGAAAGGAAGTCTAACAAATAATCAGAGGTGTAGACATAGTTGAGAAGGTTTGTAGAGTGGGGAAATGTTTGTAGGGTGAGAACATGCAGATGTGAAAGGATACATTCGCATCTCCCTGAACTGTCCTGTAAAACACTCCATGTCTGGTGTGAAATACATGGCATGACTTCCCATAGAGGCCAATAATGCTCAGTTCCCCTTCCTCAAAAAACATTCCCCAGAGGTAAAAAGGTTATAGAGGTGACCCCAATTTATCAAGAAGGAACTTTATAAAGGTCACTGTTTGCTGGCTAAAAAGGTGGAGATACATGCTTCTAAACTATCAAAAACATTTTTAAATGAACATATATACTTAATATAGGAAAATATTTTTAGAAAATATCCTTAATCAGAATTTCCTTACAATGCTAAATATTTCTGTTCATCTTGTATCTAGTTATTTGCCTTTTTAAAATTTTGTGGACTTAAAGCAACCTCTGCAGTTATTTTTCAAGACTGTATTAATTTGACCATATAGATAAGGGCTCTTCCTCTTTCTGATTTCCCACCTTCAGTGTTTATGAGAATTCTGCAGCCCTGTCTATACCACAAGTAGATGCTCTTTCATATGCAGTCAAACCTAGTTCCTCTGCCAGAGCATTTTATCACACAAGTGTGTAGGGATTAAGAGGAATATCCATGCATTGAAGAGCAAAAAGAAACTCTACAAATTCTAGTCATTGTCAGTAACTATTCTTGCTTACTTATTCATTCAACATCATATTTTGAGCATCTCCTATTTACTCTGCTATGAAGAATATGAAAATGAGTAAGACTGAGTGCATTCAGGCAGCCGGGGAGAGAGTAGATGTCAAAAAACAGTGGTTGTGGCTCATGCCTGTAATCCCAGCACTTTGGGAGGCCGAGATGGGCGGATCACCTGAGGTCAGGAGTTCAAGACCAGCCTGGCCAACATGGCAAAACCCTGTCTCTACTAAAAATACAAAAACGAGCTGGGCGTGATGGCACACACCTGTAATCCCAGCTCCTTGGTGGGAGAATTGCTTGAACCCAGGAGGCGGAGGTTTCAGGGAGCTGAGATCGTGCCACTGCACCCCAGCCTGGGTGAGAGAACAAGACTCCATCTCAAAGAAAACAAAACAAAACAACAACAACAACAAAAACCCACAGTGATTGTGGTTGGTCTACTAGGTATCAAGACTTCTTATATAATGTAGAAATTGCAAAGTAGTGAACCAAGGAAAGCATGATTGATTATATTAAATCCAGATTTGAGAGTTCATTCTTCCAGAAAATATTTATAGTCTATCTACTATATTCTAAGCACTGTACCTAGCAGTTAGGGATCCAGTTTTTAAATTCTACGTTTTAGAGTTAATGCACATTCTGTAGTGAACGGGTACATTCGTTTGTCACTGTCTGCATTGTCCTTTGTATAGAGCAAATCAAAACTCCGATTTGGTGATCCTGACTTTTATATTTTCCCTGATTTTAGAAAAGTTTTGTATACCCCCCACCCGCAATCCCCAGAGTAAAAGTTCATCTGGATTACTGGGTCTTGCTTAGGTAATTTTAACCACTGCTTGCTGCTACTGCAGTCTATCATGTAGGCCACTGCTCTCCTAAAACAACTCAAATCCTGTCACTTCAGACACCTTCTGTGGCATCCTGCCTTCCACAGTCAGCTCCAGCCTGTGCCCCAGCCTCACCTTCAGTCAACCTCACCTCACACTTGCCTCGGTAGCTGTTCCGTTCCCACCCCTGGGGCTTTGCTTATGCTTTCGCCTTGATTCTGGAAGCCCTCAAGCACTCACCCTTTCCCTTTATCTACCTGTAGAAATCCCACTTCTTTCTGTGTTCACTCAGCTCAGTTGCGAAGCATTTGCAGTGGTTTCATTTTGCTTTGTATTACATATTTCACCCTGCTGGTTCCAGATTTTAAGCACAGGTTTTACATGTATGTTCTTAGCAAACATATAAACGGAGAGATCCAGTTGATCAAAATAGCTGTAAAACAATGCGGAACGGAGAGATTGTCTCCCCAGAACATTTTCTTTGAGATCTCTGCCTTCATGAACACAAGGGTGCAGGATATCAGACATGTGAATGCACAGGGCCACGATTCTTAATTAAATGACTCCATGAGAGAAAAATGAGAAGAGTTCAACATTGGACTGGATAGCCAAAGACCTTGAGATGGAAAAAAGTGAGGATATAAAGAATGGCAAACCCACTAAGGAAAGAGGTGAAAAGTGAGGCAAGGGAGGTGCCCAGTGCTTAGCTGTTAGAACTAGTTGTACTCAGAAGCCATTAAAGAGATTCCAGCAGGAGAGGACCCACGGTCCAGTCCATTTTTCAAAGAAGTAAGGTAACCTACTTTCATGTTATATAGCTAGTCAGTAGGAAGACTTAGATTCAGCTTGTAGTTTTTTAAAGACACATAACTGATTCAGAAAATTAGATAAGTTAAATTTTTAGATCTGCTCAGAAATATCAAAGTATATCATATAAATATATCTCCCATTATGTATTTTGGTAATCTCTTTGGCTGGTTCAGCCTTCTGCAAACTGAGCTGTTGATCTTGCAAGATCATTCTCATGCCGAGCTATTTCATTTTTTTTCCCAGCAACTCATAAAATTATTTTCTCCTTTTTTTTAAATTTTAGGTCAAATGCAATTCCCGCCTGAACCCTGTAGTTACAACTTTGCTAAAGGTAATGTGTCTTCTTCCCTCACTTCCAACCCTTATATATGCTTCAGATTAATCATTGGAATAATTGCCGAGAAAGAAGCAAAGCTTCCCTCTCTTTGGTTATCTCATTCTCTTCTTTTTTTTTTTTTGAGACAGACTCTTGCTCTGTCACCCAGGCTGAAGTGCAGTGGCTCGATCTCAGCTCACTGCAACCTCCACCTCCCAGGTTCAAGCGATTCTCCTGCATCAGCCTCCTGAGTAGCTGGGAATACAGGCGCCCACCACCACCCCCAGCTAATTTTTCGTATTTTCAGTAGAGACGAGGTTTCACCGTGTTAGCCAGGATGGTCTCAGTCTCCTGACCTTGTGATCCATCCACCTTGGCCTCCCAAAGTGCTGGGATTACAGGTGTGAGCCACCACGCCCAGCCTTCATTCTCTTTTTGAAATTATGCTTTTGGCCAGGTGCAGTGGCTCATACCTGTAATCTCAGCACTTTGGGAGGCTGAGGCAGGTGGATCATGAGGTCAGGAGTTTGAGACCAGCCTAGCCAGTATGGTGAAACCCCGTCTCTACTAAAAATACAAAAATTAACCAGGCATGGTGGCACATACCTGTAGTCCCAGCTACCTGGGAGGCTGAGGCAGGAGAATCGCTTGAACCCGGGAGGCAGAGGTTGCAGTGAGCTGAGATCACACCACTGCACTCTAGCCTGGGCAACAGAGTGAGACTCCATCTCAAAAATAAATAAACAAGTAAAATAAAATAAAGCTTTTTTCCTGAATATGTTCTCATTGTAAAACATTGCAAAAAAGAGGAAAGGATATGGAATAAAATAAATTTAAATTATTCGTAATCCTACCACCCAAACCTCTGGTAAAATATTGCTTTTTCCTGCCGGGTGTGGTGGCTCAAGCCCGTAATCCCAGCACTTTGGGATCCATCCACCTTGGCCTCCCAAAGTGCTGGGATTACAGGTGTGAGCCACCACGCCCAGCCTTCATTCTCTTTTTGAAATTATGCTTTTGGCCAGGTGCAGTGGCTCATACCTGTAATCTCAGCACTTTGGGAGGCTGAGGCAGGTGGATCGCGAGGTCAGGAGATCGAGACCATCCTAGCTAACATGGTGAAACCCCATCTCTACTAAAAAGACAAAAAACTAGCCGGGTGAGGTGGCGGGCGCGTGTAGTCCCAGCTACTTGGGAGGCTGAGGCAGGAGAGTGGCATAAACACGGGAGGCGGAGCTTGCAGTGAGCTGAGATCCGGTCACTGCACTCCAGCCTGGGCGACAGCGCGAGACTCCGTCTCAAAAAAAAAAAAAAAATATTGCTTTTTCCTATACATTTTTACATCATTAAAATTAGAGAGGGGCTGGGCACGGTGGCTCATGCCTATAATCCCAACACTTTGGGATGCTGAGGTGGGCGGATCGCTTGAGTCCAGGAGTTTGAGACCAGCCTGGGTGACAGAGTGATACCCTGTCAGAGAGTATTTACAACCCTGTATGTTTTCCTCAACTTTATGACATAGCCTTTCCCATGTAACTAAAAACTTTGGCTGGGCGCAGTGGCTCACACCTATAATCCCAGCGCTTTGGAAGGCAGAGGTGGGAGGCCAGGAGTTTGAGAGCAGTCTGGGCAACATAGTGAGACTCTGTCTCTACAAAAACAGTCAGAAAATTAGCTGGGCTTGGTGGCACGCATCTGTGGCCCCAGCTACTCAGGAAGCTGAGGCATGAGGATTCCTTGAGCCCGGGAATTTGAGTATTTGTGCTCCTGACACTGCGCTCCAGCCTAGGTGACAGAGTGAAACCCTGTTTCAAAAAAAAAAAAAAAAAGGCCAGGCACAGTGGCTCAAGCCTGTAATCCCAGCACTTTGGGAGGCCAAGAGGGGTGGATCACGAGGTCAGGAGATTGAGACCATCCTGGCTAACACGGTGAAACCTCATCTCTACTAAAAAATACAAAAAAAACTAGCCGGGCGAGGTGGCGGGCGCCTGTAGTCCCAGCTACTCGGGAGGCTGAGGCAGGAGAATGGCGTAAACCTGGGAGGCGGAGCTTGCAGTGAGCTGAGATCCGGCCTCTGCACTCCAGCCTGGGCAACAGAGCGAGACTCCGTCTCAAAAAAAAAACAAAAACAAAAATCTTTGTCAACATTATTTAATGTTGTGAGAATTAACATAATGGATGTAAATTCTTTATATGCAAAGTCCTGCTGCTGTATTGGTAAGGAAGCTTTCAGTAACAATTCTCATGATGAGAGTGTATGCATTTTCTTTCTCTTAGGGCAAATACAGACCAACTCTTATGCTAAATATCTAGAGATAGTATCAAGTGTCTCCCACTTTTGAGTATATAGGAGGCAAGAATTTCTACCTGTTATTGTTTCAACCTAGCTTTTCCTAGAGCCTCTACTAAAGTGTTTAGGTAGCTGACCTTCTAGTTTGTACTTGGACTACTGTAGATTTCAGTGCTGATCATATATTGCTTACTGCTACATTTTCAGTCTGAAAGACCTCTGCCATCTTCCTTTTCTCTTTGAAGTGTGTTTGAAAGGGAAGTGCTGTTACCAGAAACAGCCTGTAGTTCCTAGAAATCTAATGTGAGGTTAATGCTCTGAGGTGACCACATTCAAAATGTTCTGCCCTCCAGGCAATTGATGGGCTGGTCTAAAAATTTGGGGGAGGGGCCGGGCGTGGTGGCTCATGCCTGTAATCCCAACACTTTGGGAGGCTGAGGCCAGGAGTTCAAGACCAGCCTGCCCAACATGATGAAACCTCATCTCTACTAAAAATACAAAAATTAGCTGGGCATGATGCCAGGCGCCTGTAATCCCAGCTACTCTGGAGACTGAGGCAGGAGAATCACTTGAACCTGGGAGGCAGAGGTTGCAGTGAGCTGAGATTGTGTCATTGCACTCCAGCCTGGGCAACAAGAGCGAGACTTTATTTCAAAAAAAAAAAAAAATTTTTTTAAGTTTGTAGTTTCAAACTAGTTTCTCACTTCAGGTTTGAATCAATATTCAAAAGCAGAAAACTAAACCCTACAATAACCATAGACATAGTTATTTTGGGCAAAAATGCCCATCTATAACACCATAGAATAGAGTGGATAACTCCTGTGGCAGATCGAACCGATTCTCAAACCATTTGATAGGTACCCATCTTGGAAATAGTTTCTTCCAGTATTCTCTCTGCATATGGGAACTGTTCTATATTCCAATCAGGTTTCAGCTCCTAAACTTCATGAAAATACAGCCTGTGCTGGTTTGGTTTTTTTGTATATTTGTTAGATTAAATGTTTGTTTATAATCTTATGCTTAGAATTTTCAGAGGCCTCTCCCTTGTTAATCTCAAACTTCTATGTCTTCTGTGGCATTCCCCTCGGTTGTAGTCCCTCCTCATAATAAGTTTTGATGCCAGTGAATTGAAACCATGGGGTTCATGTTCCTTTTTTAAAAAGCCAGTCAGCCTGAATAGGATATCATCTGAGCCCAGAGTGCGTAACAGCTGGAAGAAAGAGCAGGCCTAGGGCTAGCATGCCCTAAAAATGCTTTACTGTGGATAGTAGATTCAAATCACCTGGGAGCTTATTAGAACTGTAAGTTCCTTTTTTTTTTTTTTTTTTTTTTTGGAGATGTCTCTGTTGCCCAGGTTGGAGTGCAGTGGCATGATTTTGGCGCCACTGCAACCTCCGCCTCCTGAGTTCAAGCAAATTCTTCTGTGTCAGCCTCCAAGGTAGCTGAGACTACAGGTGTGTACCACCATGCCTGGCTAATTTTTTGTTTGTTTGTTTTTGGAGACAGAGTCTAGCTCTGTCACCCAGGCTAGAGTGCAATGGCGCCATCTCGCCTCACTGCAAGCTCCCCACTCAGGGTTCATGCCATTCTCCTGCCTCAGCCTCCCGAGTAGCTGGGACCAGTAACAGGCGCCTGCCACCACACCCGGCTAATTTTTGTATTTTGAGGGTTTCTTTTTTTGAGACAGAGTCTCGCTCTGTCACCCAGGCTAGAGTGCAATGGCGCCATCTCGCCTCACTGCAAGCTCCCCCTCCAGGGTTCATGCCATTCTCCTGCCTCAGCCTCCCGAGTAGCTGGGACCAGTAACAGGCGCCTGCCACCACACCCGGCTAATTTTTTGTATTTTTAGTAGAGAGGGGGTTTCACCGTGTTAGCCAGGATGGTCTCGATCTCCTGACCTCATGATCCACCCGCCTCGGCCTCCCAAAGTGCTGGGATTACAGGCGTGAGCCACCGCGCCCAGCCAATTTTTGTGTTTTTAGTAGAGATGGAGTTTTACCATGTTGACCAGGCTGGTCTGGAACTCCTGACCTCAAGTGATCCCCCCGCCTCAGCCTCCCAAAGTGCTGGGATTACAGATGTGAGCCACCGCGCCTGGCCAGAAATGCATGATCGTGAACCATACCCCAAACCTATCAAATCAGAATCTCTGGGACAGGAATCCAAGAATCTGAGTTTTAACAAGTCCTTCAGGTAATTCCAGCACACACTAACGAAGCCATATCCTAGAAATCCTTGCACGCATGAGAATAACCAGCTGTAAATGTTTATGAAGTGAAAAGCAGCATTACCAAACCCAGCTATTAGAGGAAAGTAACTGACTGAGCAAGCCAGCTGAATCAGTATCAGCTCTTGATGGCTGAGTGTCCTCACTCATGGAGGAAAGATAATGTAGAGTTGAAATGGGACTTGGAAAGCACGATGCACAGAGAAGTTAGGGTCACACTGTTCGAGGGCTCTGAAAGGAACATTCTTCAGGTGCTTTTCATGGTTGAGAATAGTGGTTAACTTCACTATCACCTCGACAGAAAATTCCCACCATGGGCCTGAAAGTCAGGGCTTCAGTCTTATTGATACATAAGTATGTAATAATGATACCAGATTTTCATCCAAGGTTATAAATGTTTGTATGTAGGTGCATTGAGATGTAAACTTGCAGTTAAACATTAAAACCTAGAATTCGATCTTGTTCCGTTTGAAAGGACTTGGGATGTTCAGAGCAATTCTCTTAAGGGTAAGTCCCAGCTGACTTGCATATTTTTCCTTTTCTAGATGGCAGACTGTGGGGGACTGCCCCAGGTAGTTCAGGTAAGGAAATTTTTTTTTAAACACCCATTTAATTCTGCCTCTCTGTGCGAAGATTAATGCCCTCTTGTTTTATCCCCCCAGCCTGGGAAGCTCACCGAGGCCTTCAAGTACTTTTTGCAGGGAATGGGCTACAGTGAGTAGTATACAACTTTCTATCTAGCAACAATTTAGGATTATTGGGGGCCAGTTTCACATCTGGGAGCCCACAATTCCCGAGATATAACCTCTGTGGCAGCTAGCCTTAAGCGAAGTAGAAACTGAAATGGTTATGGAACATTGATTTGTCCATATTTATGAGAAGCTAACACTCAGCACTTACTTTTTTCAGGCACTATATATTCTTTTGTATTTTTTTTGTTTTTTTTTTGTTTTGACCTTTTTTTAAGTGGAGTGCTTTCACTCTCATGAGCTGGAGTGCAGTGGTGTGATCTCGGCTCACTGCAGCCTCTGCCTTCTGGAGTTCAACGTTCTCACCTCAGCCTCCCAAGTAGCTGGGACCCTACAGGCACATGCCACCATGCCTGGCTAATTTTTGTATTTTAGGAGGGCAGGGTTTCACCATGGCTTAGCCAGATGGTCTTGATCCTCTTGCCTCATCCCTCCCAAATGCCACAGGACTGAGCCTGCCATCATGCCCGGCTGAATTTTATATTTTAGGAGAGACAGGTTTCACCATGTTGTGGGATGGTCTTGATCTCTTGACCTCGTGATCTGCCTGCCTCAGCTTCCCAAAGTGCTGGGTTGCAGGCGTGAGCCACTGCCGCCCAGCCTGTATGTTACTTAATCTAAAGTCATTCTGTTCATTAAGTACCATTTATAGAAGAGAAACTGAGGCTCAGAGAAGACTAAGCATTTACCAAAGTCGCAGAAGTCAGCGCTGCAGGGGAGCCACTCAGTTCAAACCCTGTGATCTGAGCTCCAAGGCCCAAATTTGAACCCTGTAGCTTAGGGCTGTCTAGGTGCAGATCAAAATTATGATTTGCATTTAATATTAGTTAATAACTCCTGACCAAATGAACAGAGCGCATAGGAAAAGGCAGTATATCCTTGAAAGTCCTCCACTCCAAGATGAACTTGGAGAGTGTTTTAGAGCAAGTCAAGGGGGTGTGTCACTTTCATACGCCATTGTCTTGATATCATTCCAGTAAGACCCTACAGACTTTCTCATGAATCATGGAATTATCTCTGCCCATATCTTGGAGTTTTAACTCACATACCCAAGGTCCTGAGCTCTTACCCAGTAGGTGATTTTCTCCTATCTTTGTTGTAGTGTGGATAATGGTCTGTTGGAGGCTGCCTGGTCAGCTGCTCATGGGCAGCTGGGCCCTGGGTGCAGCCACCATGCCTGCCAGGCAGACCATGTATGTCTTATGTAAGTGGCTGTGTCATGCCTTGCCTGTGAACTGCTTCTGTGGAGCCCCCACACAGCCTTGTGGCTCACTGGAGAACAGAGGCCCCTCTCTGTCCCCACATTCCCTCCTTTTTCTATGCCTGAATAGCTGATGATCTTCAGCCCTTCTGATCCAAAGCAAGTATTGTTCATGGCGGGGGAAAACAATTGCCTTTATCTAAATTGGGAAAGTAACATTGAGGTATTATTCAAGTATCTGTAATCTACACCTCCCTCTCTGCGAACTTAAAGATAAAACTTTATCCCTGGCTTAGAGTATTCTGTCATGTCACAGGGCAGCTGAGGTTGCCACTTGGCACTCTCGGATCACTAACCTGCCTTTCTGTGTGTGTTTAGTCCCATATGTACAGCTCAGTCACCTGAGCACGAGTCAGAAATGCACTTCCTCTGTGCTGGCCCGCCCCTTCCAGTCTCCTGGCTGCACTGGCTGCCCCACACCTGCAGCATGTCATGGTCTTCTGTGCAGTGAGCCCGATAGAGACGTGGCTCCATTTTTAAAGAGTTAGCCTGCAGGTCAGCCCTGGTCTCTCAGGAGGAAGAAAGGATCTGGTTGAAACAGGCCTCCTCTTGTCATCCTAAATCCAGGAGTCACAGCAGCTGAAACTTGATAAGCAGAGGCACATGTTACACATACCTACTAATCCTTGAATTAACCTCAGACCTTGGAATCAAGGACAGCCTTGGCTCTAAAATGGGAGGGTCAGAGCCTGTGCCAGAGAACTCTGCAGATGATGATGGCACAACCGGCCCAGCAGTGGAGATACGGCCCCCTTTAGAGAAGGTGGCTGCTGCCGGAGATGGGCAAGGCTGTATGCCAGGTGAAGCAGTCAATAAGCTGGAAGGGACAGCCAGAGAGTCAAGCAGCTTGAATGAGTCTGAGTTCGCACCACCCCGACTCCTCCATCTGACAACCTGTACCCTCATCCTGTGTAAAAGTCGACAAAATCTTTACTTACCATCCATACTGTCCTACACATCTCTCCCTGGTAGCAAGGTGACCTGTGAGACCACGGATGGTAGGTCTCTCTGCGTTATGTCAGACTTTTTGTGTTTATAGAAACACCTTCCTTGTGTGTTTGTCTTTCTTTTCTTTGGTTTAGTCTTGCCTTACTGTAAGGTTTTGGTTACCTGGTTTGGGTTTCCCAAAGCCTCCCATTCACTCACTGTCTAGATGGTGTGACCTTAATAAGAATATACTCTATGGACTTAAGGTTTCCCTTGTTTCCTGTGGTGACTACCACAATCAGCTGGGATTCAGCAGATCTAAAAGTTCAGTACAGCCTCTACATATCACCACTCACCTGAGCAAATACAATACAAATAGGATGGCTATATCTTTGTCTGGTGTCATTGTAAATGATCAGAGAGAAGCTAAACATGGCTTCTTTGAGTGAGACTCCTAGTTAGCTATGACCAACTAGGGGCTTCATCTTCTAGTCCTTGGTTTCTCTGTTACACCATGCCATGTGGCGTGGCTCAAGCTGCGCCGATCACGAACCCACTCAACCTCGAGTACCCTGAAACTCAGAAAGTCCATTGCAGCGGTGTCACCAGCATTGGGCCACTCAATGAGACTCAGAATCTGTGCAGTCACAGTCTCCTGGACAGACACTAGACCCATGCAGTGTCTGCTCAGGCAGATGCTCCTCCCTGGACCCATTACAGTGCATCCTTATTGACCCAGTATCACATAATATATGCTTCATTCAAATGCTTTAGCCTCTCCTATCTTTGAACCACTTTGCAGCCACTGGACCTCTTATCTAGCAGCCTGGTTATCATTCTCTCCTCTTTGCCCACCTTTGTATAGCCAAAGACCCTTCGCTTTGCTTTGCAAATTCCAACATCTTCTTTAGTCAGATCCTCCCATATCCTCTTTGCAGCTTTTGCATTACTCTAACTATACCAACCAGGACCGTTCTTTAGTCCCAGCACCTCTATGTGTGTGTGACATGTCTCTCTTCTGTGTTGCATGAGGTCTGTGATTTTTAATTGCCTTTCTGCCATGGTGCTGCTGCAAAAAAAAACAAGCAAGGACTTATTTTGCGATATCTCAATAGTGCCTTTTTAAAGAGGTCAAGCCAGATAAGTTCTGAGTTAGATGCCATGACCCACTGATTCTCTTTTATTTGTTAAGTCAACAAATTTTGCAGAGTGATTCAGGAAACAGAAACTCTGAGGACTAAGTGGAAAATCATCAGTTACCATCTGATGTACCAGTTTAGTTGCATGACAGCGTGTAAGAGGTGCTATTACCATACAGAGAATATTCTCTCCCGATGAATTCTGCCATATATTCTACCAATGTAAAAGGGAGAATATGTTCTGTCTGCTGACCCATGACCATGGTGAGTTAAATTAACTAAAGGTTGCCAGGGTGAATGTGGCTTGGTGCTGGTTCTCTTACTTTGAGAGGTGAAACCAAATGCAGGCCTCTATCTAGAGAACCAAAGCTGCTGTGTGCAGTATCACAGTCTGCTGAATCTCACAAAGTGCCTCTCATAGATCTATGTGTGAGTGTGTCTCAGTACTCAGTTCCCAGAGAGGAGGTGCTGGCTAAAAGCTATGTGGTGTTGAAATGGGTAGGAGAGAGGAACAAGCCATTAACACTGTCATGTTTAATAAGTATGGCCTTGATTTGTTAGTCTGGCTAATTAAATTAATTCATTGAGCCATTTCTCAGAATCTATTTTTTTTTTTTTTTTTGGTTCAGAGTCTGGTCTGTCCACCATTTGAGTGCAATGGCTGAAACACAGCTCACCCTCACTGGGATAGGCGAGATTCTCCACCTCTGGCCCTCCGAGTAGCTGGACTAGGCACCACCACCACCAAAAAAAAAAAGCCCAGCTGAGGTCCATGTTTTGTTTAGAGATGGAATATCACCATGTTAAAAGCCAGGCTGGTCTGGACTCTGACTCAGTGATCTTACGCCTCAGCCTCCCAGAAATTAACATTCTGGGTTCACCAGGCATGAATCGTTTGCCAACCATCAGAAGGTCATTAATCTCTTGACCATTACTGTGGGAGGAAGAGGCCACTCATAAGAGCCTAGCTAGATACAAGTTGTTTTCAGCCTCTGTCCTACTGTTAGTGAAATCACAGCCAGACAGAGAGATGCTGGAGAATGAAGGCTTCATGGAGACCAGGTGACTGCCACACAACCAAATTAACCTCTTTGAGGGCGGTCAGGAATCTTAGCTCAGAGTTTACACAGTTCCAAATCTTGGGAAGGCTTTCAGACCACGCTGTTTGCTCTGCTGGAATAAGAGATGCTCCATCCTGCCCAGATCTGACTTTTTACCGTTAAATAAAGCTGCCCTTGCTCTCATTATTGCCCTGATTGCTGATGTATTATTTCTTTCAAGCGAAAGCCATTCACTGGGTTCAGGGCAGACGAGGTGTATGCTTTCGTTCTGGTGGCATTTTCACACCATGAACCTTATCCACTAAGCCATGCTGTCCAGTTTATCTGAAATGCAAGCCTGATGATGATCGTTGCCCAGTCTTACAGCCAGTAACTCTATGGGATCAAATCATAAAGTGCAAATTCTCATCTATGTATATATGTTTTCCCTGAAATGAAAAAATAGTGAAACTGACAGTATTGTTTGCTGTTTCAGAAGCTGAGTCTTTAGGAAGGGTGATCAAAATCACAATCTGCACCTGTGTGCATGGGTTGCTGATCTCACTTCTCATTAATAATCTGCAGCTTAGCATCATAAGGTTCTCTAAAGTTAACCCTAACATCAGAAATCAGCTCATATTTGTACATCAAATATTTCAGAGGTAGGGTGGAAGCTCACTGTAATCCTGTAGCACTCAGGGCTAGTGTGTGAATCTACACAGGGATGATTAAAAGATAAATAATTGTGATGAAACCTGTTCCCAAAAGTAAAAAATGCTTGGTTTGTGATGATGTGCCTGCAATCCCAAATACTTGGAGGCCTGGGCCGGA